TGCCACTTCCCCTGATTGTGCATGCCTGCTCTCTCACTCACTCTCTCTGCCAAATAAATAATTAAAAATCTTTAAAAAAAAATAAAAAAGAATGGAGACATTAAGACAGTAGTTCCCCCCCCCTCAAAAAAAAGACAGTAGTCCCTTAAACAGTATGTTAAATTTACTTGCCAGGTGCTTCTTTTTGGGGTGTCTATTTTTTTTAATGTTATTCCTAATTAAGGGAATAAAGGAATTTTCCTCAAGTTAAACATGTTTCAGACAGAAACTGATGAGAAGAAAGTTTTTATGCAGAAGACTTTTCCTGTGTCTCTAAAATCCTGCCTGACCCTTCTGATTAGGGAAAACCCAACATTTGAAAGATTCTCCAGCTCACAGATGAAATTCTTCCCTGGCTCCAGAGTTGGCCAGTCAAATGAGTAAAGTAGAGTGGCCAGAGTGTAATTGTTGGTCTTGTTTCAGGCAGTAAATAAACAGACCATCTTACGTAAATTTCTCTTATAATAAAAATACTATTCTCTTACAATAAAAAATTAGTTTTTTATTATATGTCAGTCTTGGTCATCTGTAAATGATTCTTAAGTCTGCCATTAGGAGAAATTAATCTGTTTTTTTTGTACTGAAAAGCTTTTTATTTCAAACATCAATGCATCACGTGTCTATAATTTTCTTTTGTATCTGCTCCTATAGAAAGAATCGTTCAGTGAATAATATGGGTAAGCAGAAAGAGGATGGGGAAAAAAAAAGAAAGGAAGGAAAGAGACAAGAATAATAAACAATTAGGAGCGAGGCTCCGTGTTGAATTGGGGAGGGAGCTTACCCATCATGCTTTGTATGGTGCAAACCCCCTAACCAGGTTCCAGCACTAGCAAGTGAGGTCCATAGATCATCACCCCACCTCATTAAGCCAAAGGCTTCAATTTTCACTTCCACAGTTGTCTTTTTGTTCACTCTCTATAAAATGATCAGCTCATGCCCTTAAGGTTTTTGCTGTGGAGTTGAGGAGACAATAATTCAACAGAATTGATGCCATATGGAAAATCCCAAGTTAGCTTTTATGCAAGTGCAAAATAAAATATTCAAAACAGATGAGATGCTTGCAGTAGTGGTAGGAACACAGGCTTTGGTGTTAAACAGTCCCAAGTTGGAATTTGATCTTTCCTACTTAGAAGCGGCAAAGACCTGGTCAAGTCTGAATCCTTCTGAGCCTCCTCACCCGGAACTGTAAATGAGACCAATAATACTGCACTTGCTTCCTTGTTATGAGGATTGAATGGCACGAATGGGAAGCATGCGCCAACTTTGGCACGGAGGCATTAAATATAATGAGATGTTCTCACTTCCTTACTATGTGCTGGCACTGTACGTAAAGCTTTATGTGTAGATAATATTGTTAAAACCATATAAACACGAGGAAGCTAAGGCCTGGAGGGGTTAACAGTCGTCCCAAGCCCAATGGCCAGAAGTAGCAGGGCCAGGATTTGAACTAAGAAATCTGACTTCAGGGACCTAGCTCATAATCATTTATCTCTACAGTCTCTCCTCCGTGTAAGCCAGCAACCCACCCACAGGGAAATGATGAATATGCTGCTTCTGGAATAGATGAGTTTTAGAAGTCATCATTGATATTGGTAGACAGAGTCACTGAGGTATTCTAGGGTGAAGGAATGTTATTTAAATATGTGGAGAGAGGAGTGGGAGAGGAGCCACTCAGAACTGTGCCAACAAGCAGTTTTGCGTGAGTAGCTCCAGAGCGTTAACATTTAAGAGGATATACACTGAGGAGATAAGAATCACATGTATAATCAACTCCAGATTTTTTATTTTAAACAATAAAGGGCAGCCTTTCATTAATGACCCATTATTTCATACAATCACAATTGTTTCAAAGTAGAAAGAAAGAAAATTTTCATGCTGCCTTGTCAAATAGCTACCTAAAATACCTCAGTGTGGTATCTTTTTTTTTTTAAATATTATTCTGTCCTACCTCATGAAGCATGTAAGTTTTGAAAAACAAATCCATTTTTCTCTTCAGTTCACCAGCCTGCATTTCTAGTTTAGCTGTTGGCCCCACTTGTCACCTCTAGCACCCCCAGTTAATACAGCTGTCCGGAACCGTAACGTCACAACACACTTTCAGCACACAGGCACATTGTAAGAAATGTGACTTTTTTCTATTAATAGTTCAGTGTGTCTCATGTGTTCTTGTATTTTCATTGATAACTTTTAAGAGAAATCACAGCAGTAGTCAAAGGAAAGAATAAATGAGTAGTTTGTCCACACAGACTCAAGGACCAGACAGATCATCCATCGGCCATGAGTTTGGTATTTGAGAAACAATATATTTCTTTTTTTATTGGGGCGCCTGGGTGGCTCAGTTGGCCGAGCGGCTGCCTTCAGCTCAGGTCATGATCCTGGAGTCCCTGCTCATTGGGCTCCCTGCTCAGCACGGGGTCTGCTGCTCCCTCTGACCTTACCCCTCTCATGCTCGCTTGCTCTCATTCTCTCATCTTCTCAAATAACTAAATCAAATCTTTCTTTTAAAGATTTTATTTAGGGGGTGCCTGGGTGGCTCAGTGGGTTAAAACCTCTGCCTTTGGCTCAGGTCATGATCCCAAGGTCCTGGGATCGAGCCCTGCATCGGGCTCTCTGCTCAGCAGGGAGCCTGCTTCTCCCCCACCTCTCTCTGCCTGCCTCTCTGCCTACTTGTGATCTGTCAAATAAATGAATAAATAAAATCTAAAAAAATAAAAATAAAGATTTTATTTAGGCGCACCTGGGTGGCTCAGTGGGTTAAGCCTCTGCCTTCGGCTCAGGTCATGATCCCAGGGTCCTGGGATCGAGCCCCACACCGGGCTGTCTGCTTGGCAGGGAGCCTGCTTCCCCCCCACCCCTGCCTGCCTCTCTGCCTACTTGTGATCCCTCTCTCTCTCTGTCAAATAAATAAATAAAATCTTCAAAAAAAAAAAAAAAAAGAAAGTATATTTGGGGAACACCTGGGTGGTTCAGTCGGCTAAGCATCTGCCTTCAGCTCAGATCATGATCCCAAGGTCCTGGGATCAAGCCCCACATCAGGCTCCCTGCTCACTGGGGAGCCTGCTTCTCCTTCTGCCTCTGCCCCTCCCCCTGTTTGTGCACTCGCTCGCTCTCTCAAGTAAATTTTTAAAAATTAAATAAAAAGATTTGGTTTGGGTCTTTTCTATCGTATTTATTTTATTTTTGCAAGAAATATTTCTTTACGTTGACTTCTTGTCAATTTAATTCTGATTCTGAGGCTCCATATTTCTGGACTAAGGCAGAATCAACCTCAGTCATTTTGGAGCCCTCTGAAACTCTTGAGTTCTAGTTTCTTTACAAAGCTCCCGGATGTCACTGGTAGGCCCCTGGTCATTATCATAAGTCCTCCCGGTGATCATCAAGCCCTCTCTTACCCAGACCTTTATGATCGCAAGTCAAGAAATCCTGCTGCTTCCAAGCCCCAATACTTGGGACACAGAACTTCTTCCAAGGTAGGATTCATTATGCCTAGAGTCTCCTCCCTTGACCACTGCTTGCAAGGTCTTGCAACCAGCGTGTGTGCTGGGGGGTGGTGGGGATGGGGGAACACTGGGCAGTGCAGGGCTCAAATCCACACTCATGGGACCCACAGGTCTGTTTCTAGTCTCCATTCAGAAGCTCTTTTCCTCTCCCAGCAGTCCTCCAAGACACCTGGCATGATCCTCTCAGCATCGTTATATCAGTGCCCCTCGGTTTGATAAACAACAGAAAGAACCAATGACTTCTGGTTCATTTTTCGGCTTCATAAAAATCCCCTGCGTGTGGGGTGCCTGGGTAGAGCAGTCAGTTTAGCATCCAACTCTCTGTTTCAGCACAGGTCAGGATCTCAGGGTCATGACATCAGGGTTGTCAGATCAAGCCCTACGTCAGCTTATTGTCTGCCTCAGATTCCCTCTCCCTCTGCCCTTCCCGCTCATGCTTTCTCTCTCTCTCTCTCCCTCCCCCCAAAATAAATAAATAAATTTTTTAAAAAATCCCCTGTGTGCTCAACATCAGGGGAAAAAGTTGTATGAACATATTCAGTTGAATAATTTTTAAATAGTCTCACCAAAACCCATATATATACAATATCAGTATATGGGTGTACAGGTGTGAACTGTCTGCAGGGTCTTTAGGAAACTGCTGATGGGGATTGCCTCTGGGGCGTGGGACTGAGGGGCAGGGGAGGGAGGCAGTCTCTTTGACAGTTTACTACACCCTGTGGTTTTGCTAGAGTCCTTGACGTGTGTTATTTTTATAATAAAAAAATGTAAGTTTATTAATTTGAAAAGATAGGAATCTTTTAAATTCACTAACCATGATCTGTGTTCACCAGCTGACAGTTCTCTACCTTCGATAGTGTCCTGATTCTATGGCTCAGAATGCTAAGTTCGGGAGTTAATTTGCCCAGAGTTATACATCGGCAGGTCAGAATTTGAACCCACAGCTGTCTGACACTTAGGTTCATGAATGCCCTTTCCCCTCCTCCATGCTTCGTCCTCCAGGGTCATTTCTTCCACTTCAGTTCTTTTCTTTCATTGCTGGAGTAATGAGGCCTGGCAGACCCCCTGCATGAGGCCACACATTTATGCCAAATCCTTGAATACTAATAAATACTTGAAACCGTGTCTTAAAATATACCATAAAATGTAAATAAGAAGGACACATAGTTCACCTCAAGTTCATACACAGCAGCAATGTACAGGTTAACAGTAAAACACATGGGGGAAGTTTAACTTGAAATATTAGGCAAAGCCAGTCCTGAAGGAATGAAATCATAAACCTAGAAAAAATTAATGATACCTCTGAATATATCATAACTGCATGTTTTGTTTACTTTTAGGTCAAATAAAATAGGACATTATTAGCGAAGAGCAAATTATGGGTTGCTGCCTATGGTTTGGTTGTTTGTGTAAGGAAGCATTTATGGTTGTTGAAAATTAATAAGAATTTGTTTTTTATAGGATGCTATAGTTATACACGAAGTCTACGAAGAAGGAGCAGCAGCCAGAGATGGAAGACTTTGGGCTGGTGACCAGATATTAGAGGTAGGGGAGTATGAATTTTATTTAATACTAGCAAATAACAGGGGCACTGGGTGGCTCAGTTAAGTGTCTGACTCTTGATTTAGGCTCCGGTCATGATCTCAGGGTTGAGATCCAGCCCTACTTCAGGCTACCTGAAGAGCAGGAAGCCAGATCCTGCTTAAGATTTTCTCTCTGTCCCTCCCAGCCTGCTTAAAAAAATAAATAAATTTTTTTTTTAAAAACTAGGGGGTGCCTGGGTGGCTCAGTCCTTAAGCCTCTGCCTTTGGCTCAAGTCATGATCCCAGATTCCTGGGATCGAGCCCCACATCAAGCTCCCTGCCCAGCGGGAAGCCTGCTACCCCCTCTCTCTCTGCCCCTGCTTATGTTCCCTCTCTCGCTGTGTCTCTCTCTGTCAAATAAATAAAAATCTTAAAAAAAAATTTTTTTAACTAATATAAATACGTAAATAAAAGTTTTTTAAAAAATACTAGCAAATACAATTCCTTTACTGAACTTGATCTACAAAGTCTGTTCACTCACTGCCTTGTACTTTATCCTCATTTGTCTCTCATTTAGCAGAAAGTGTACCTTTTTTTTTCATGTACGTTGAATAACTGTCATCAAAATCATGGCATATTATCTAAATCTGTGAAAACTTTTTTAAAATTAAAGTTCTGTAGTTATAATAGTTCTATAATCCTCATATCAAATGGGAGTGTACAGTGTTGCAATTTTACTTTTTTGTGCCCCTCCATCATACCTGTCTAAATTCTCTCCTCAAAACACAGACACATATGCATAAACATGCACACCTGATATTTTAAAGACCTTTATTGCAGTTTTAAGTATTGTTTTCCTACTCCTAATCTTTAAGTGGAGGTCCATGCCTTTCCTCTTTTGTCTTCTAGTTGATGAAAATGTAGAATATTCTCCTTTTAGGATGTACGTGGTACTTATTAATAAGTCGAAATGATTAGCTTGCCTCTTTCAAATGCACTCTCAATTAGCAAAGGCGTTAAAGCCTTTAAAAAAAAAATGGCAAGGCAGGCATTGTCTGAACTAGGGAACGGATGAATGGCAGGTCAATGCCAGGCATTCTGGTAGGTGGAACGAAAGAGCTTTTTTGATGGTGTGAAACCTTTAGGCAACATTTATTTCTTTCATTGGATGAATTTAATTGAATAGTTAACATTTTATGGTGGGCATGTGCATTTTTGCTTTGCAACTTTAATATAGCACATTATGAATGACATCATAGAATTTTATTTTCCCTTTGGTGGTTCAAGTCTGCCTCCCAAGATGAAACCACAGATATAATTAAGGGCAGAAAATAGAGGCAAGAAGGAGTTAAAGGAGAGGCCAGGCTCATTGCAAATTAAATTCAGGGTTTCTCTGCAGAGTTTTACTGTGCTTCATCATTGGATTAGGACATATTCCCAGTACATTCATTAAGGCACAAGTGTATGAGGTTAGAAAAATAAGCAAGACCTCTTTGGGAATTGGCTTGACTGCTTTAGCATACAGCACCGTTTTTTTAGTGGTCAGAAGTTTTGAGGGTTTTTTTTTTTCCCTCAGGTTTTCTGATTAACTGGTGTTATCATAATTGGCTTTGTAAAAAAAATAGATTGACTATTCAAGAGTACAGATGCACACACACCTAGATACTTGTGTGATCTGTAAGCCCACGAATGATTCTATAATGATCACTTGAAACTAAATCTAATATATGCATTTCCTTGATTACGGTGATGGTTGTATAGGTCTAAATGACATAAATTCACGTATAAATTGTACACTTTAAATATACTTTATTTTGGGGCTCCTGGGTGGCTCAGTGGGTTAAAGCCTCTGCCTTCGGCTCAGGTCATGATCTCAGGGTCCTGGGATCGAGCCCCGCGTTGGGCTCTCTGCTCGGTAGGGAGCCTGCTTCCCCCTCTCTCTCTGCCTGCCTGTCTGCCTACTTGTGATCTCTGTCTGTCAAATAAATAAAATAAAATCTTTAAAAATATATAAATAAATAAATAAATAAATAAATAAATGTAATTTATTTCTTAATGTTATACCTCAATAAAAAACTTTTTAAAACTCTGTTTGTATTGGATAGAGCGCAGCTGTAGCTGCTGTCTTCCATAAAGGATATTCATCTACAAGCAAACACTCAGGACAGGTTAACATGAAGAAAGCAATTAAGTGGAAGGAAGAAATTGAAAACTCAAACCATTTCCTGGCACCCAGCTGAATTATATTACCCAATATGGACTGATGGTCTACGCTTCTCATTAAAGATGACCAGGACATAATGTAACATTGTGTGTCAACTAAAAAGTTATTATTTTTTTTTATTGGTCAGGACAGGCTGTTCTTTTACCCCAGGCGGTACAAGAGTATATGGTGTGTTTAGTTAAGAAATAGCTGTTTGGTCAAGTAACATGTTTCCTTTCAAGCAGCTTAGGCCCCACATTTGGACTCGTTCTAGTTGTGGCTGATGTGTATAGACGCATAATGAAGCATAATCCGCCTGTGGCCTGCAGCTTTGCCTTAAGAAGACAGGCCAGCTTTGGTGGTGTATTTCAAGACCGTGAAACCAGAGAATTCTGCACCAGTGCTTTCCAGACAGTGACCTTTCTGCTTAGGAGTACTCCACATTGGTAGCTGGCCTTTCATGGCTTTAATTCTGTCCTCATACTAAAATTAGGACAAGCCATGGGGCACCCGCCTGGCTCAGTCAGTAGAGCAAATGACGCTTATCTTGGGGCTATGGGTTCCAGCCCCACGTTGAGCATAAAGATTGCTTAAAAAAAAAAAAAAAAAAAACAACTGGGGGGCACCTGGGTGGCTCAGTTGTTAAGCATCTACCTTCGGCTCAGGTCATGATCCTGGGGTCCTGGGATCACATCCCACATCGGGCTTCCTGCTCCACGGAGAAGCCTGCTTCTCCCTCTCCCACTCCCCCTGCCTGTGTTCCCTCTCACAGTGTCTCTGTCAAATAAATAAATAAAATCTTTTTAAAAAACAAACAAACCAAAAAAAAACAACTGGGACAAACCAGATTTTGCATACAAAGATATAGTCCAGTAATGTTTTAGCATGGCAAGATTAATGATTCTATAATTAGCATAGACTGACTTCTTTCTGACTCTGCTTTTAAAGTCAGTCCCTCGGGGCACTGGGGTGAGGCTCAGTCTGTTCAGTTTCAGGCTTGATTTCAACTCAAATCATAATCTCAGGGTTGTGAGATTGAGCCTTGCATTGGGCTCTGCACTGGACGTGCTGCCTGCCTAAGATTCTCCCTTTCCCTCTCCCTATGCCTTTCCCCACCGCCGCATGCACACGCACGTTCAGTCTGTCTTTCTAAAACAAACAAAGTCCCTCATCTAACCCTACCCCTACCTCCATTATCCTCTTCTATTTTTGTGCAAGTGGGAACAGAAAGAGTAGAAGGCTAATGCCTGGTTTTCCCTGTGAACTAAAATAGCAAGGAACTGCTGCCTGGTTTGGTGATCTTTCCTTCCAAAGCAGTGATTCACCCACTTCCTCGTCCTACCCAAGCAACGTGATACGCTCCCGTTGACAACTGGGGCCTCCTATGGCTCTTTGTCTCAAATAGGGAGCCCGGCTATTACCACTCCTACAGTCAGTGCTCTAAATAATGCATATAGTGCTTCTGTAAGGCACTTAAGGCAATACATCACTCCACAATATTGAAGCTACACAGCGATATTTTTCTTAATGATTACTGGTGCATTTAGTGGTGCCTCTTGATAAGCAGAGGAGGAAATGAAAACTATGAACTTGGAGCAAATCACTTGGATTTGAGCAAGCATCTTAATGCTGGAATTTAATATAAATTGCTTTTATAATATTAGTTTCATGACAGTACTTCTGATTGGATGTATAATTTGTTAGGGATTTTGAAAAGGTATTTTAGAGGCTGAAGAGACCTTACCTTCCACCCCTGGAAGTACTATGGTGCAGTGGATTAACAGAAGTGGTCTTGTGCGCCATCTATTGGAATATGGGGAAATAATCCGCTCAGGCCACATTTTCTAGAGGCGCTGTTTTCCCCCTTTGTTCTATGGATTTACCTCTAGAACACTGAGAATGCAGCATGGGCCTGAGTTAACAGTGGATGCTGGCGCTGGCAGAAAACAGCCCTGACTCGGGTTACTTCAATCCCTTGTAAATTCCCAACTTGTAACTTATACTGGGCTTAACTGTGGGCCAAGTCCTGTGCCCAGGGCATTAGAGGGTATACTTCAGGTAATCCTCACAACACTAAGTAGATATTGTCTCCAACTCATACAGGACACAGTTGAAACTCAAGTAATGTATCTGAGGTTTCACAGAGTAAGTTAGAATGAGCGCTCAAACTGAAGCCCATCTGTATTCAAAACCCATGCTTAGCCACTGTTTTTTGGTTTTAAAAAAAAAAATTTTAAGTAAGGTCTATACCCAGCATGGGGCTTCAACTCACAACCCTCAGATCAAGAGTCACATGCTCTGCTGGCCAAGGCAGCCAGGTATCCCTTAACCATTGTCATGCTGGGTGTAGTTAATCTAAGTGAGAACACAAACCCAAGATATACCAGAAGGGTGGGGGGGGGGGTGGAGGTAGAGGGATACAGCTTGGAAATTAGGCTTTTAAAACGTTTTTCTGGTTCACCGAATCAGTTTCAAAGAATAGCTCAAAACTCACCTTCTCCAGGAAGGGCTCATTGCTCTCTTCTCCCTTGTCTGTAACCATTCTTCATGCCCCAAGTCATTCATCTTTGGAATGTTAGAATTGGGGAAGCCTGAGACCAATCCCTCACTGGACAGATGAAGGAATGGAGGAGCAGAGATAAGCCCGACCTGCCCAGAACACACAGGGATGGACTAGAACGTGGAGGAGAAACAGCATCATGAGAGAACTCTTCCATTCTGTTATACTTTCCTGGCCATGACCTGGGCCTATTCTTCCCTTTGGCTCGTTTCCTAGCTGTGACCTTGATGGAGTGACCCATGACTCCCTCCCGTTGAGTCCTCAGCCGTTCTGCTCCTCAGTTTCTCCCTTGTGCTAAATCCACTCATCCACAGCACTGCCTGATTCTCTCTGGGACAGGGGCTCCAGGAACTCATTCTGAGAGGAAGTTGAGGCAGAATAATATAGAGACTAAAGGTGGGAAGACAGTCTGGGTTCAAACTGTGACTCCTCCGTCTGCTTGCTATGTAACCTTCGTCAAGTCTCTTAGCCTTTCCATGCCTTACTTTCCTCGTCTGTAAAATAGTAATGGCACCTATTTCAGAGAGTTGGTGTAAGGATTAAATGACTAAATATTTATAAAGGGCTAATTCACAAGCACTACACAAACGTTTGTTAAGTAAAAAATAAATAAGGGGCACCTGGGTGGCTCAGTCGGTTCAGCGTCTGCCTTCAGCAGACAGATCCCAGAGTCCTGGGATCGAGCCCCGCATTGGGCTCCCTGCTCAGCATGGAGTCTGCTTATCCTTCTCCCTCTCCCCCTGCTTCTGTGCTCTCTCACTCATGCTCTCTCCAATGGATGAATAAAATCTTTAAATAAACAAGTAAAGTAAGTAAGTAAGTTGGCTATGATCTCTGTGTAGCAGACGAGGAAACAGAGTCTTAGAGGTTACACGGCTTGTCCCGATTCACATGATTTGCCAGAAACAGAGCCATGGCTTTCCTCAGTGCTGTTTCCAGGATAGTTTGCCTCTAACTCATGTCCTGTTTGTTCTCACTCAGATCCAGGTTCAGAAGAGTGTACCTGAAGGGGATTTTGACACTGTGGAAAGTCTCTCATTTCCTTCCTACTTATTCCAAAGTACTTATTGCAATTAAGAGTGAGGATGTCAAATTCAATAAGCAAATGGAGTCTAAAAATGCTGACCAAACACTAATGTTTATTTCCCTTTTGACCTCAGTTAAATGAGCCAGTCAGCCCTTTCCACCCGTCCTGCTCCCTCTCACCCTCCCTCCCCAACCATGTTGATCCCATAGTAAGGTTCACAGCTGTGCAAAATTGCATTATTGTGTGTACTAACCTTTTGGGGGGTGGGAAGAGTATAAGAGTTAACCTCCCTTATATGTGAAACAGCTACTACTACTAGTAGCCACTGCCTTGGTGCCTCGGGAATGCCTGGAAATTTCTAGAGGTTTTTCACTGGTTAGATTAAGGAGCTCAGCAGATAAAGCAGGCATAGAGGGCTCTGCTGTCAGCAGCCCATCTCAGATGCCCGTTGTTCCAGGTTAATGGGATTGACCTGAGGAGCGCTGGCCACGAAGAAGCCATCACAGCCCTGAGGCAGACCCCCCAGAAGGTACGACTGGTGGTGTATAGAGATGAAGCACACTACAGGGATGAGGAGAACTTGGAGATTTTCCCAGTGGATCTGCAGAAAAAGGCTGGCCGAGGACTGGGTCTGAGCATCGTTGGGAAACGGTAAGGAAATACAAGCTCTAGGACAGATTGGCCTGTCTCCCCGGAGGCCTAGGGAGCCTATGAACACCAGCAGAGAAAGTTTTATGTAAACTAATGACAAGGTTTCTAAAATTAACCTATTTATAAATATTAGAGTGACCTAAGTCATGTTTCAGCGTAAGATCTTAACCAAGAAAAGTGTGTCATATGAAGATAGAACTCAAAACCCAATCAACACAAACTGTATTTGTTCCCATATAGAATAAGAATAGAATCAAAAAGGTTTTTTCAGGGGCACCTGGGTGGCTCAGTCATTAAGCATCTGCCTTCCACTCGGGTTGTGATCCCAGGGTCCTGGGAATGAGCCCCACATCGGGCTCCCTGCTCAGCAGGAAGACTGCTTTCTCCCTTTCCCCTCCTTGTGTTCCCTCTCTCACTATGTCTCTTAATTAATTAATTAATTAATTAATTTTTTTAAAAAAGATTTTTTACCTTGGAGTCCCTTAGCTCTGAGGCTTGCATGAGGTGAATTAAAGCCACCCTAGCCAAGAAACAGTTAATATCAACAGATACTACCATGTGAATTTCATGCTATGTTACCTACAACTAGTTGGTGAGTTTCAAAAATTAGCTGAATAGATATATTTGAGAGACAAATGTAAATTATTCATTACTGTAGTTTTCATTAAGAAAGATGCCCCCAAAAGAATAACTTGCAACAAAAATGTAGGTGGATCCGTTGTTTTGAAGTCTGTGCTGCTTACCCATTTGATGGGCATTATCGAATAACAGTAGTAGGTAAGAGAAGTAAGTAATATCTTGAAACTGCAATTCCAGCTCCTGTGGTTTACTGGTTTTCGATATTTAGTGTGTCTTTATTCCAACAGGGCTGCAAGGTTTCCAGGTGACACCCCAATATGGCCTTAAATGGTTATCAACCATCTTCTTAGGAAGAACTGAAGTTGGTTTTTTATGTATTATGTCTTGTGCCCTCACAGACCTCTGATGGCTAGCCTGATACTTTTTTTCAGCCATCCAAGCCTTTTTTTTTTTTAATTTATTTATCTATTTGACAGATCACAAGTAGGCCAGAGAGGCAGGCAGAGAGAGAGGAGGAAGAAGGCTCCCCGCCAAGCAGAGAGCCCGAGTGGGGCTCCGTCCCAGGACCCTGAGATCGTGACCTGAGCCGAAGGCAGAGGCTTAACCTGCTGAGCCACCCAGGCACCCCATCCAAGCCATTATTAAAATAAAAACATTGGAGACAATTTTTGAGAGCACTGACCTTGTGCCAAGTATCATGGTGTCGTGGTCTCATTCTTCAGTACCATTAAATCATCACTCTGAAAATGCATTTTAAACCAGAAAAGCGGAGACTCCTGTTTCTAAATAAACTCACCACACACCTGACAAAACCTGTGTTGAAGTTTGCTTCCTGGTTGTGACATACACGTGCCTGGGGAGATTCCGCGTAGAGGAATGGTTTTTTACTTTATTGTCTCCTTTTACTTTATTGTCTCCTACACTCTTCATACAGCACTAGTATTTCAGATTGAGTTTGTAAGGAACATTCACACTCCTGAGCCCAGAAATTTCCATTGTGAAGGTTCAGGTGCATAAGCTCTCATGTTCGTGATTCTTTGACTTAGCCGTTTCACAACGGTATCCGTTGCACATTGTTTGCTGTAGCTAGTGAATGACAGTAACCTGTGTCTTCTTTATTAATAGTTTACTTATCATGAAATTGAAGAACATCTGTAGAATAGTATACAGCCCTTAAAAAAAACAGTGAGGAAGCCCCAAGTGCTCATAAAGCCCAATCCGAGGGTGTATCAATTGAAAAAGTAAAACAAAACTGGAAGAAAAAACTCTGGAGAAGAGTATGTGCATGTGTATCTGTTCACACACATATGTGCTGTATGTACGTGCCTTTGCTAATGCATACACAGAATATCTCGAGGAGATACACAAGAAAAAGTTAACATACTGGTTACCTCTGGAAAAGGAACTTGGGGGCTGGGGAACAGAGGTGAGGGAGACTTTTTGACCTCTTTCTCCACTTCCCACCCTCTTGAACTTTGAGACCTACATTTATTTACTCCTCAGACATGTAAATACAGTTAAAACCATAATAAGGGAAGGAATAGAGAGGGTGAGAAACTAGAAGCAGATCCTATGCTAATAATTGAGCTGATCGGTAAGGAAACAACTTGTATATTTTAAGAGTACTTAACTCGACTTTTTAAAGTGAATTTCCATTCCATTTCACTTAAGATTATCCTCTTGCAGAAATGATGCCCTTGGACTGATAGAAATGAATATTACAGTAGGCAACGTAAATATGTGTGAACTCTTTAAAGGGCAAGCACTCTGAGGTTTATCATGTGGGAAGTTAGTGGATATTACTGGATGAGACGGTTTGGGGGGACCCTTATTCCAAGCTTTAGGATTTAGTGAAACTATAGAATGTCGGTAATCGCAGACGGACTCAGGAATACTAAACCATGCCATTCCCTGCTGCTTGGTGGTGTCTACAGAAATGGAAATGGAGTGTTTATTTCTGACATCGTCAAAGGTGGAGCTGCAGACCTGGATAGGAGACTGATTCAGGGAGATCAGATCTTATCTGTGAACGGGGAGGACATGAGAAATGCCTCACAGGAGACGGTGGCCACTGTCCTCAAGGTGAGTCTTCCGGGTGCTGTCGGCCCGGCTGGTATAACTGAAGTCCAGAGGGAACCGTTCTAATCTAGCTTGGTGATAAAGTGGGTTGACTTTATGCTAACTCTAGTTTTCACGAGAGCGCCAATCTCTGGTTATTTTACCCCATCATAAATAGCTTTACAAGAAAGCTGTTATATTGACTAACAGGACTGACGAGAAACCTCTTGGAGGATTTCTGAGCTACTTTCTCTGCTAGTGAGAAACCAGGTACCCATGATTACCCTCTAAATGCTTTAAGTGCATTAGATGGGGGGTAAGTTCTCCCGGAGTCAAAAAATTCATCCTTCTCTCTCTAAAGCTATATTGTCATGAATGTACCAAATTCAGCTTTTATTGCTGGAGGGACCGTTAAAGATTATCTAGACCAATTCCCGTTTCACAAATGAAGTTTGAAAAAGTAAAGCAGGGTGTCCAGGATGACAAGGATCTGCTTGAGTGGTTTTCCCACCACCGACACAGTTTCTCACCGAAGTTGTAGCGGCTAGGTTCAGAATTCCCTTCCAAGTGTCTCTGCCCCATGGACACAACCTCCCTTGGAGGAAACTGATTAATAAAAATTCTTGTAAATTTCCATTCAACTGTAACCAGCTGCATCTCACACTGTTTCACAAATAGCTGTGGAAGCTTTTACAAAGACAAATGAACCTTGTTTATTTTAAAATCCGGATTTCCTAATATAGTCAGCTATGAGTTACGACTTATGAGGGAATTTGTTATTTGTAAATTATCTCTATGATTTTTCTGTCCTCCGTTCACCACTTTTTCTTCATTATTTCACTGCTTATGAATACTTTCATCAGAAGGGAGAAGGAAGAGGTGAGTTGAAATGTAATCCTCTTACCATAGTTAAAGAAGTCATGAAGTTATGAGGTGAATACCATGGAGTTGATGAATTTTTGTTATTTTGTGTGGGGTTTTTTTTTTTTTTTTTTGATTACTGATTTACCTTTATCCCCTCTTGCTTTCACCACCCATTTACAGTTCTTGGTGCAGAGATGAGTGGAAGCTCTGCCATGATAATTTAGAACGTGAATGCTGTTTCTCACCTCTCTTCTTGTCCTCCCAAGTGTGCACAGGGGCTGGTGCAGCTAGAGATTGGAAGACTCCGAGCTGGTTCCTGGACCTCCTTGAGGAAGACCTCACAGAATAGTCAGGTTGTTGATGGCTTTGCGTCAGACTGACTCACTCACCTATCCCCACTGGGAGAAAGCCCCCCATTTCATAAATGATTGGAAATAATGTGTACTAGACAGCATATTCACAACACCACGTTCAGTGCATTTTAATGTGTTTGAAATAAAAATGAAAGGTGGAATGGAAATTTGTTATTATTCATTAATCCCTAGATTTTTCTCTCCTTTATTGCTCACCAGTGTTTCCTTAGAACCACTTTTCTCGTCCACTAGTAGTTCTGTATTGCCTTCACATGCATGCATGTACACAGCTGTGTTTATTTAAAAAAAAAAAGAAAGAAGCAACATCTGGTGGCAATTTGACCCTCATTAGCACAACATTGTTCCATTCATTCAATTAAATATTGCTATAAAGTTAACTTGTGAATAGCCACTCACACATGCTGAGGGCAATTAATGGCATATTCCTAAGAGAGCGAAGTATAGGGGGTTCTCCTCTGAGTGGGAGGCCTTAATGGGTGATATTTTGTAGGTCAGCAAACATCTTATGTTTATTTGCAAGGCTGATGTAAGTGCCACTTTTTGTTTTTAACAAAGTATATTTCAAAGTTTGGGGTTTTAGTTTTGTTTTCATTATAATGGCTGACAAAATCAAGATGGTAGACTACATGTTTGTCCCATTTGGTACATAATGAAACTGTAGAAACTTAGCTTGTGACCTCCATCTCCTTTGTGAGTTATAGATGGGCCTTTTTTTTTCTTTTTTTTTTTTTTTTTTTTTTTTGAGGTGAAAAGCATAAGTTTTGGTCTTCTCCCTGGTTGCCTTAGACTTAAAGCCTCTCCAAAGCTTTTGTTCAAAAGTCCTTCTGAGTTTGTGATTAGTCCACAGGTGTTTCTGGAATGCTATGAACCGCCTCCTTTGCTTCACTGGTGTTAGAAAATGGGTAAAGAAAAATACCATTGTTCAGCTAGGATCGCAGACTAGCTGTCTTAGAGAATCTGCAAAACATTGAAACCCAGTAAACATCATGTAAGCTTAGAATATGTTTTCTCTTTCATTTCTGGCCAGTGCAATGAGCAGCAAATATCATGGGCACTAAGACTCAGAGCTGTGGTGGGACTCCAGACACAAATGGTTGATGATGAGTCTGAGCAGACTTGTATTAACAGTGGAAACTTAAGATGCAAAAATAGTTGTCTCGGCTTCTTTCTTAGTGGAAGGTTCGCTTGTTGAGGGATTTCACTAAAGCCTTGTTGTACACAGGTTAGAATTCTGACTGAACAATACTGGGGATAAAATTTTTCTTCCTTGGAGAATATGGGAGGGTACCACAGAGGAGGCTCCATTGGATCTCACTCCACAAGGAGTTTGACAGATTGAAAAGAGGGAGAAGGGATCCCAGACAGATGGAATAGCATATGCAAAATCACAAAGGGATACAAAGAATTCCAACATTTTAAGAAAAGTTTGAACTAAAGGATGAGGTAGTAGATAGAACTAGATTTCTGTCCTTGAGGAACATGTGTAAGAACGTCTTAGTGATTAATAAAGTTCACACTCAGGTTAAATATAGAGCTAACAAATTTAGAAGCTCTATTATTAAATGTCAGTAAAACCATCATCACTATTTAGCTGATCTATGAACATGAGCTGTCCTATTTTGGAAACCTAAGACAAAGTATCAAACACTTTTATCTAACCTTCTTGCACAGAATTTTTACCATTGGGGGTAGAAGTTTAATTCAGTTTTAAGAAAAATAGTAAATATGTTTTATCCTTACTCTATCCTTAAAATTTTGGCTGAGGTGATATGAGAGTCTGCAGTGATATTTGGCTCATTGAAAGAAGGCTCATAGCCGGCTATGAAAAGGAAATGTCTTCCATTATCCAGAACTGAAGACCAGCCCATGACCTGACCACAGAAAAAGAGGATTCCATACCCAAACATTTCTACCTTCAGACCCTGTAGGGGCACAGATTTCTTTCTAGGCAATTATAAGATGGGGAGGTAAACGTCTTCTTCTGAGGGCCAAGCAGAATTATCATTTGTTAGACTTGGCCTAGAGAAAGTGGGTCTCTTAAGGGGAATCTTCTGTTCTTGGGGCTACCGGGCCTCTTTTTTAAAAAAGTCTTTTCCCACCAACCAGAAAAGAGTGCCTGTATTCTGCAGAGAAAGGTGTGTACGGAAAATCACTTGAGAAATCTTTTCCTGGGATAACTGAGGGAACCCCTCCAGGCACAGTCGATATTTATAAAGGCTGTGGTAAACACATTGTTCTAAGATTTTTTTTAGCAAACATTATAATGTGCTATACTCCCTCAATTCTGAATATTTATTATAGCACTATTGATTTAAATCCTATCCTTTCAGGAAAATACAGAAAACACTCCTTTAAATATATAAACCCATTGTGAAGTGTATGATGTCTGTAACTTACTTGAGATGAATTTTTAAAAATTGGTGAATAGATGAGTGGTTATGTGATAAAGAAAATCCAGCAAAATATTGATGGTGGGATCTAGGTGGCGTGCATATGAATGTCTACTGTATAAGTCACCTTTTCTGTATGTTTGAATATTTTCATATTTAAGGAATCAAAATATTAACTTGCATCATAGAACTAAGGAAATGGACCAAATTATAATTTATCAGATTATAATTGTGATCTTAGGTTTAGCTTAAAATTTTGAGGCAATTAAGCATAACCTTGATAATTTGGTAGAAAACGTTCTTTATTCATTATTGGTTACTTTTTGGGTGAGGAGGTTTACATTATTTTCTGCATTGGAAAGGTCCTCCACTGTGTATATGATTCTTATTGACTAGCTACTAGCCGTACATGACTATAAAATGTAGACCTCAAATATATACTTAAATGAATAAAAGGACAATAATGGAAGTGTAACAGATTGGGTTCAGTTACCACTGACTCCAGGAAAATCTCTGAGAAAAAAAATTTAACCCATTCTTAAATAATATATTCCCTTGCTATTTGCTGCTTTCTCCTATAACTGAGGAGAAAGTTTCTTTTAGTCAAGATTTTATGATAGTTATTTTAGCAAAATAGATCATGTAGTTTGGGTAATAAAGTAATAAATGTTGACTATAGCCCCAAGTGACATGTAGTGCCATTAACTGAATTATATATAAACACTAAAAATCTAGGAAAATTTTTTTTATTTTGTGGGGAGCAAGAAAAGCTTAAATTATTGCATGTTTTCTATCTTGATGATTGAAACCATATATAAAAGCTCATATAAGAGGGAAGGCAATGGAAAAATGTCAAATGGGATTGGGCTAGAGAGGTAAGAATGTGAGTAGGGGTCACTTCTGTTTTCTCTTTTAGCCTCTACAGAATTTTCTGTCACGTGGTTATGGCTACTTAAGTAATTAAAATATTAAGTCTGAATTTTTAAGACCAAGTCAGTGTCTGAGCACAGCTGACTACGGGCTTTCTTTCCAGGGAAGCCAACACAGCACCCACAGCAGCTTCCATCCCTCCCTGGCTCCTGTCATCACCAGCCTGCAAAACCTGGTTGGCACAAAAAGAGCTCCAGATCCTTCCCCCAAAAGTTCAGGTATGACTTGGACACACCTCCAGCAAAACCATCCTGTGACCCCAATTTTTTTAAATAATAATATTTTTAAAAACAATTTTTCACCCTCAATTCAGATACGTTGAAATCTTCAAATATGTGCACCTAAGCCCCAAGCTTGATGAAAAGCCTGTTCTAAAGGAAGGAAAGCCGTAGAGACTCATTTTGGGAATGTGCCTTTAACTGTACACAAATCACGTGAAAAACAGGAAAGCTGAAATCGAAGCTACTTCATAAAGGAAAACTATTTCCCAAAGAGAAAAATTTCAAATGACAGGTCACTTGAGGAAAGTCAAAAACATATATACCTTTGCAGTTGGGGCAAGGCAAGGGGTCTTTTCAAGCCTCTCCTTGAGGAGAGGCTTGTTTTCTGTTAAGGCAGGAAAATGTACAGTGACACAAAAATAGCCCATCCCCCAAACCATTTAGGCTCATATCCTGGGCAGCTGCTGGTACCTCCCTCAGCTTCTGTCGGACCACGTGGTTATGACCACATCTACCTCAGACAGAGGGCCTCTTAAAATAGCCCCTAACCAATAGTTGCCAGTTTGGATTTTGAGAAAGTATGTAATACCTATTTGTATTCTCTCTTGAAAGACCTAGAAAATGATACTATTTTCTTAATAGTAATATTTTTATAGGAGAATATTAAATCCTAGCTGTGTTATCTCTTTATTTTAAAAAGTTAATTTGTGTTGCTTCATTATTTATAGGTACAGATATGGGACCAAGGACTGTTGAGATCGTCAGGGTAGGTCGTTAATTTTGCTATTTTTCTGATTTGTGTTCTATTTCCCTTAAAATGTGTATTTTCTCCTCAGTACAATTTGTTCGATTGATAGTGTGCTCTTTTAAGTTACTGAAGGCGATAAATGGTCTGTGTTAACATAAACAGACTTAGGAAAATACCGTAAAGACACAGAGAGAACTCTCATTGTGAATATTTTGGTATTTTTTTCCACTGTGTTTTGTGCATGTGTTTAAGTTTTATGAAACAAACCAAAGAAAAAAAATGGTATCATATTAAACATACTTTGGTAGCTTGTCTTTTTCACCTTTTTTTTTTTTTAAGACCTTATTTATTTATTTATTTTTAAAGATTTATTTATTTATTTATTTATTTGTCAGAGTGAGCACAGGCAGATGGAGAATCAGGCTCCCTGCTGAGCAAGAAGCCCTATGTGGGACTTGATCCCAGGACGCTGGGATCATGACCTGAGCCGAAGGCAGAGGCTTAACCAACTGAGCCACCCAGGCATCCCTAAAGACCTTATTTATTTATTAGAGAGAGAGTATGTGTGAGCAGAAGTTGGGGGGGGTGGGAAGGAGAGTATCTCAAGCAGACTCCACGCCAAGCATGGAGCCTGATGTGGGACCCGATCCCAGGACCCTGAGATCACAGCCTAAGCTGAAATCAAGAGTCAGACACTTAAACAACTGAGCCACCCAGGTGCTCCTGTCTCCTTCACTTTAAAGGATGAACTTTTAACCATGCTAGTATTTTTTTTACAGCACACATCCTGATTTTTATCCATTGCATAGTATTCCATCGTATAAATGTGCTATGCTTAAATCAACTTCCTCCTACTAAACAATTAGCACATTTCTCAACTTTTGCTCTTTTATTTTTTTTTAAGATTTTATTTATTTATTTGACAGACAGAGATCACAAGTAGGCAGAGAGGCAGGCAGAGAGAGGAGGAAGCAGTTTCCCTGCTGAGCAGAGAGCCCGATTTGGGGCTCCATCCCAGGACCCTGGGATCATGACCTGAGCCGAAGGCAGAGGCTTTAACCCACTGAGCCACCCAGGCGCCCCTCAACTTTTGCTCTTTTATAGCAACATCTTTGTTTTTCTTTTTCTGTCTATATCATGGGTAATTTCCTGAGGACTCATTCCTAGAAATGCAGTTGTTAAGTCAAAAGCCACATTTATTAAAGGCTTTTACACATATTGCTAAATCACCTTCTTGAGAAGATTGGGTGAGTTGTATTTAAATTCATAAAGTTGTCGATCCTGATTTTCAGACTCCTGTGTGATATCCAGAATATTGGAAAGTACTTTTATTTTGATCACTTTCAACCCTTAAATTTGGGATTCAAGAAGTACTTACAAAGAAATGATGACCTTGTTATAATCATGGTTCAACTGCAGTGAAGAGATAACCCAGCACAGCTTAGTTCTCTGGAATCAATCATCGCTGTGTTTGAAGGCTCTCTACCATTTATCAGCTCTGTGACCTTCAGCAAATTATGCAGCTTTTCTCATCTGTGGCCTGGGGATGACAACACTTACCTCACAAGGTCAATCTTACTGTGTGGATTAAGTGAGATAATGCAAGTAGTGTACTTAGCATAGTACCTAGTGTGTCCTAGATGTCCAAGAAGTGGCATCCGTTATTACTAACTACAGTTTGAAGTAAATCTCCTTCATTGTTCCTAGTATCTTTCCACCAAGGGATAACTCAGATGTTCCTATGATGGGAAAGTTAAATCTGCCAACATGTACATAATTATGGATAAATTATGAAAGCATTATGATGGATTTCAAGAAAGCCAAATTATTCCATAAATTTCTCCTCATTCCAGGGTTTATAAAATATCATTTTATAGGGGTGCCCGGGTGGTGCAGTTGGTTGAGCTTCTGACTCTTGGTTTCAGCTCAGATCCCGATCTCACAGCAGTGGGGTCGAGCCCCATGTTAGGCTCTGAGCTCAGCAGCAAAGTCGGCTTCAGTCTCTTTCTCCCTTTCCCTCTCCTTCTCCCACTCAGGCTTATAAATGGGTAAATCCTTTTTAAAAAATATAGATAGATAGATAGATAGATATAGATAGATAGCTAGATATAATTTTGTTTCTTTAGTCATTTCAGCCACCTTTTTTTTTTTTAAAGATTTTATTTATTTGACAGATGGAGATCACAAGTAGGCAGAGAAGCAGGCAGAGAGAGAGGAGGAAGCAGGCTCCCTGCTGAGCAGAGAGCCCCATGCGGGGTTCAATCCCAGGACCCTGGGATCATGACCTGAGCCGAAGGCAGAGGCCTTAACCCACTGAGCCACGCAGGCGCCCCTCAGCCACTTTTTTTTAAACAGGTTTTTATAAAAGGGCTTGCTTCCAGTAACCATATTCTTCCAAACATGTTCCAAGCAGAAACTTTTGTGATGAAACACATCTTGCCATTTTGCATGCATTGCTTTACTATTGATACCTTCAAAAAATATGACCTGAGCCAAAGGCAGTTGCTTAACCAGCTGAGCCACCCAGTAGCCCTGTGGCATGAGGTTGGTTTGTTTGTTTGTTTGTTTGTTTTAAAGATTTTATTTATTTATTGGACAGACAGAGATCACAAGTAGGCAGAGAGGCAGGCAGAGAGAGAGAGAGAGGAGGAAGCAGGCTCCCTGTGGAGCAGAGAGCCCAATGCAGGGCTTGATCCCAGGACCCTGGGATCATGACCTGAGCTGAAGGCAGAGGCTTTAACCCACTGAGCCACCCAGGTGCCCCTGTGGCATGAGTTTTTAAAGCTTTTTCATATATGGTTTTTGTTGTCATTTGTTCTTTTCCCATCTTCAAACTTTATGAGGTAAAATCTTTGAAGCACACTAAGCTGTGTATATTTTTAAATAATCAATTAAAACGCCAGGAGTCTTGCTACTATATAAGCCCCTTTACCCCACCCACACCACTAATATTTATGCCATAGTCTTCATATGTTTACATTTACATAAACTGAGAACCCCACCAAACAATGCTATAATTTTTACTTTCAACCATCCTGCAATTTCATTATTTATTTATTTACTTATTTGAGAGAGAGAGAGAGAGAGAGAGAGGGCATGAGCAGAGGCAGAGGGAGAAGCAGGCTCCCCGCAGAGCAAGGAGCCCGATGCGGGCTTGATCCCAGGACCCTGATCATGACCGGAGCCAAAGGCAGACGCTAAACCATCTGAGCCAGCCAAGTACCCCATCCTGCATATTTTAAAGAACTGAAAAAAAAATGGTCACAATTTTTTTGCCTACTGAGTAGTTTAGGATTTTATCCTGGACCCCAGGAACGTTACGCTGTGTAGATTCCGAAAAGTGTTGATGTTTCTGGTTTAGCAGGCAGGCAGTGCATTCGGGTTCAGACTGCGAGTTCGGTCTCATCTTTCTGGGAGCCATGGTTCACCTCCCAGCTCAGGTCTGTGTGGGTCTGTCCCTCACATGAGTGGCTTAGAATGAAGCCAGAGACTTCTGTGGCTCCCCTTCTTCCCAGGCTGTCTACTCCAGCTTTCTTCCTTCCTTCTCCAGCCACCGGGGGCTCTCTCGCCTGGTTCCTCTGACCTGTGAGATGGGGCGAGGGAGGCGTCCACAGCAGAGCCTTACACGGTCACCACCTCTCTAGCTCCTTGACGGGGGGTCTCACCCTCAGGACAGAGCAGCCTGGAAGACAAGGGGGAGATCCACCCCCTCCTGCTTTCTCTCCAGGTTTCGGCTCCGCCCACAGTGTGTGTGTCTCTTTACTTTTCTGAAGCCTCAGGTAGTTGTTTTCTGCCCTTGACCGAGTTGTCCATTTTAATCAGCAAGAGAGAGATGCTATAGTTGAGTGAATGCCACCAGGCTGGAGCCAGAACGCCTCCGTCATTCTTTCTGTGTTTTTTTTTTTTTTAAGATTTTATTTATTTATTTGACAGCAATCACAAGTAGGCAGAGAGGCAGGCAGAGAGAGAGGAGGAAGCAGGCTCCCTGCTGAGCAGAGAGCCCGATGCGGGGCTCGATCCCAGGACCCTGAGACCATGACCTGAGCCGATCCCAGGACCCTGAGACCATGACCTGAGCCGAAGGCAGCGGCTTAATCCATGAGCCACCCAGGCTCCCCTTTCTGTGGTTTTTAAAACACTAACCTTGTGGTACGAATGTGAGGAAAACCTGGGTGAGAGCCAGGATCACTTCGCCAGGGTCCAAGTGAACCAAGCTGCCTCACTTCCTAACCTTCGCGAACGCTTTCTGCCGCGTGTCCCTTCTCTCTGCGGACTCCCTTACCACTCCAGCGGGCGTCCTCTCAGAGCCTTTGTTGTAAGGCAGCCGTACAGCTCCTGAGAGCCAAGTGTGTTTGTTCACACCCAGAAGAGCATGATATGTGTGGCAGTTTAATCATAAACACCATATGAGAACATACTTGCCAAGTCTGCATCGAAATTGGCCACTAAACTGAGCAGTAACATAGGGTTGTTTTGTATTTTTTTGTTGTTGTTTTTACTCCTACTGTTGCCTTTTATTGAGCCTCTTCTGTAGGCTAAGACTGCACTCTATCATCTCATTTAATCCTTAGACCAACATAAAGATGCAAACTCTATGAGGTTAAAGAACCACCTTAAGACCCTCCCCACCCTCAGCTAATTCAGCACTTGAGCTGAAAACACAGGTTTCTTTCTGACTCCAAAGGTGCTTCTCTGGTGTTGCCTTGGCCTCCTGCATCATGGAAGGATTTTGTTCAACAGCTCTCTGGGAGCAGTCAGGTTGTGGTTTTTTTTATTAAATATATGAGCGCCATGTTTTCCTTTTTTAGGAGCTCAGCGATGCCCTTGGAATCAGTATTGCTGGAGGAAAAGGAAGTCCCTTAGGAGATATCCCCATATTTATTGCCATGATTCAGGCCAGTGGTGTGGCTGCACGTACCCAGAAGCTTAAGGTAAACAGAAGGAAAATGGTGAAGTGATTACAGCGTGTGGTGGGAGACAAAGTTGCAGCCATGGGCACTTTATTTTAAAGTTGGAATTCCAACAGAGACCCACGCTGAGGGCAAAATGCATTGGAGAAAGTTGACACCTAAAATTCATTAGGTCCCTGGGCATATAAAAATATTATTGTTTGTATCAAAGCTTCCCGATGAAGGAAGAAATTGCAGCTCATTTGCAAAGCCTCCCAAACCATTTTTTGCACTTCTTTCCACCCAAAATTTATCTTCACCTGAGAGAGATTTGACCTGAGAATTGTCCTTCAGCCAGAAGAATTAACGTTCTTAATGATTTTTTTTTCCCCAGTGCCCCTTATTCTTAACTTAGGTAGAAAAATAAAGGAGAAAATATTTGGCTTCCTCATTAGAGCTTTATTGAACAGTTAATTTGTGTGCCCCGCTATTACTGGTGAATGGATGTATGCATCACCGCCATTGCCAAAATACAAAAGTGGCCTGCCGTGCCTTCCCCTAATCACATCTGACCCCCTTCTTGTTTCTCTGATTGGTCTGTGTTTGGGGAAAGCCATAAAAATTCCTCATGCTTCTGGAACATGCATACCCAGGAGAAACACAGGCTCTTCACAATAGCCACAAATGGGAAATATGACTTACAAAGAATTTTAAGCATTCTCCTCAAATTTAATTTTTCTTAATGATAGTGATTTTCTACCACTTTTGTACTTCCAGGTTGGAGATCGGATTGTCAGCATTAATGGGCAACCTTTGGATGGGCTGTCTCACGCGGACGTGGTTAATCTGCTAAAGAACGCCTACGGGCGTATTATCCTACAGGTACTGCCATCAATGGGACGCGCAGCTGCGCGAGGCAGATAAGTGGCGTGCAAAAAAGATTGAGCGTCACTGGCAGTAGGCATCACCGCCCAGCGGGGTGCTTGCTGATGTGAATTATGAAGGTTGAAAGCAAGAAATTATTATTTTTATTCAGAAATTCTTTAATGCCACCCATACAGGCAGTGAGCATGATTATATGAAAGCATAACAAGGGGAGAAAAATTACTCTTTGCTTCACATGATGAATCAACAAGGCTTTTAGCTTCCAGCATTCTTTTGTAAATCAAAGTTTGTGAGGAATAGGAAATGATTTCTTTTCTTATGCCCAAGAACTGTTACCGAACTGCTCAAACACAATTTCTTCCACCCCCTTTATAGGAAGGGAAAAATACAATGCTCTTTTTCCCCGTAGCATAAATGATGGCCAACGCTGTTAAATTCTCACTGTGTGGTTGTCATCAAATGAGGCAGACAATTATTTATCAGCTGTGGTCCCCAAGTTTATTGTCCAGATGCACAGGGAAATATAACAGAAAGTAGAAAGGAGGTGTGCTGTTCATCAGCCCTCCTTACAGTTCAGCCCTCCACATGTCTCTGAGATTGAAACGGGGCAGTGAGAGGTATGATACTGCAGTGAGTTTTGCTAATGAGTTTCTTCCAAAATGTATGATTATAATCGCCGCACTTCTGCAGGTAGTATTGAATGGTTTACCTGTGAAAAGAATAAAACCCACCATTTAGTACCTTAGAGATGGCTCGCCAGCCCCTCAGATCCTTCTAGCCTTCAAATAATTTCCGGGGGGCGTCTGGCTGGCTCAGTCAGTAGAACATGAAGCTCTTGATCTCAGGGTTGCAAGTTCGAGCCCCACCTTGGGTTGGGTGTGGAGATTACTTAAAAATAAAATTTTGAATATAATAATAACTTCAAACTGAAAAGCCATTGCATTGGGGGAAAACCAGCTTGTGGTGCTTAACTCTCACATCTCAATGGTCTAAATCCGAAAGGCCAAAACAGACATTATGAAAGTAAACAGTGGGGCACCTGGGTGGCTCAGTCAGGTAAGCTCCCACTCCTGATTTCAGCTCAGGTGACAATCTCAGGGTCATGGGTAGAACCCCATATGTTGGACTCCGCACTTAGCAGGGAGTCTACTTGGGATTCTCTCTCCCCCTCCCGCTGCCCCTCCCTCTTCCAAAATAAATAAATACTTAAAAAAAAAAAAAAAGGTAAAGTACAGCATGTATGAAGGGGATCGTAAAAATACTGTCAGTAGTTTCAAGGGAGTTTATGCGATAGGCCACATACTATTCAGTGATTTGGGTCCCTGGGTTTCTGCGGAGCACAAAACAGAACACTGTGTGGACTGGCTGTAGAGTCAGCTTCCCCTCTGCTCCTAGTCCTCACTTTCAGTGGACCTTATGCTGCAGCCTCACATTCCTCCCTCCACCCCATGTGAGTTCTTGGTCAGATCCTGTGCCGAGCCTTGCTTTTTCTTGTTTGCCCGCTTGCTCTTCCTTCGAGTTATGCTGACCCCTAGAGGCCTAAAAGTGCAACTCCTCAGTCTCTGACTGCAGACCATTAGTTACACGGAATTTTAAAAGGAAATTACTTGAACCAATAACTTAATGTCAAGACAAAAAAAAAAAAAAGTCTCCCTTAGCAAAATCAGATATTACCAGTATTTTCATACACCAGTGTAATTTGTACGGCACCACCTTCTTCACAAAGAAATGAGAAGCCACAATGCAAAACTAGCATTAAATGACAATGCACTCAAACTCTCCCATGCGGAATTAACACGTCACTCAGTCAGATTGCTACTGTTCACATACCTTAGAAAGAGTTCCTTATTTTTCCTATTTCTGTATTTTAAGGAAATGACATTTGGTTTAAAAATGCTCTCTTGCCTTAATCACATTAATGGGTAGTGTGATTTTCTAACCTGTGTTATTAGAAGCTTAATGGAATCCATTGGGATTATAATCTACACAGTTATGGGTGTGGAGCATACGTGCTGCCAAAGGCTTTAGACAGAAAACTCTTATGTCCTGCGTCAAATGCCTTTCAGTTACATAGCGTATTTGCCTCAATTAAAGCAATGTGCAGGGCACCTGAGTGGCTCAGTGGGGTAAGCCTCTGCCTTCAGCTCAGGTCATGATCTCAGGGTCCTGGGATCGAGTCCCACATCCGGCTCTCTGCTCAGCAGGGAGCCTGCTTCCCCCCCCCTTCTCTCTCTCTGCCTGCCTCTCTGCCTTCTTGTGATCTCTCTGTGTCAAATAAGTAAATAAAATCTTTATAAAAACAATGTGTATATAGTACCAGCAGTACAGTTATTACAGCTGACTTGCCACTGGGTAATTATTTTTATTGTCAGGTGAGCCAGCCCATTGGCTGAGCGGTAGAGAAGGTTAGGTAATTGTGTCTGTTGATGTGTAAAAGACTTACGAGGGTGTATCATGCAAAGCAGTCAGCAACTGCTGGTTGCACAGGGAAGATTAAGGTCTGAATCAGCATACGGCAGGATGGTGCAGGGGAAAGAGTGGATGAGACAACCAACACTTCCAGAAGCTTCTTCCCACAGTATAAATTGCTGTCTCTGGGTGTTAATAAGAGGTAGATTTTACTGCCCTTAAAGTCGGATGGTTTCTTATTCTCAATGATAAATTGGTCAGTGGAGATGGATGTGGCTACATGGTGTCATTTTAAATGTTCCTAATTATATTTGCTTTTCTAGTCTGATAGTTTTGTCTGGTTAAGCTTTTTTATCTGTAGAATGACCATGAAACCTTTTTTGGGCAAAATCCAGTAACCCAGACTCTCTGCTAGAATTTTTTTTTTTGGTACATCTTTGAGAACACAGAAGATAAAAAGAGCACATTAGAGATTTTTATCACTAAAGGAACTTGTGAGGCTTGTTTTGGGCCCATTAAGAAATTTTGCAAACATTCAAGAGTGTAGCAGAATGGGTGGATTGAGGTAGCACTAACTGAACTAAGGGTATGGTAAGAGGATGTTGGGAGAGAACATTGTAGTTGGAAATGTCCAGTAGGCAGAGGAAATGTACTGCCAATACTCAGGGAGACTTCACTGCTGGGAACAGTAAATAAAGCCAACTGAGACATTTCAATGTCTCAATGTCAGCATCCCCACTACCTGGCATGTTATATATCATAGATACTGATTGAATAAATGAATGAAAACAGTGGTGACAAAGATAGGACAAAGGCTTGGAGTCAACACCAAGTAGGGAAGGCAGGAGAAGAGAGTCTGAAATCAGGGAGATTCATTAAGCATCTGTCTACAAAGTATTTTGGGAGGCCCTTTGGGGACATACTTCAGACCACCAAAAAAAAAAAAAAAAAAAAAAAAACTGGGCACCTGGGTGGCTCAGTGGGTTAAAGCCTCTGCCTTCGGCTCAGGTCATAATCTCAGGGTCCTGGGATTGAGTCCTGTTTCGGGCTCTCTGCTCAGCGGGGAGCCTGCTTCCCCCTCTCTCTCTGCCTGCCTCTCTGCCTACTTGTGATCTCTGTCTGTCAAATAAATAAATAAACAAACTCTTTAAAAAAAAATGATATAAGAGGGTCCAACTACTAGTTTGGAGAGAGAGAGAGATGTGTCATATTTATTAAGATAATATAGAGAGAACAGTGACTTCTTTTTGAACTGTCAGTTGAAAAATGGAAGAGAAAAAAGACATGGAATTAATTCAAGGGATCCAATATCTAACAGATGGGAGTTGCAAAAAGAGAAACAGAAAAATAAGAAATAAAATAAGCCTTATCTAAAGGCCCATGAGCCAGTTAGCAGGATAAATACCTATATACATTCTAAAACTTCCAAAGAGAAAAGTATAAGCTACTTACGAAAGAACAGGAGATTCAAATGGCACCTCTTTTTCAGCAGTGTATTTCTGAGAAAATTACTTTAGGAGGGTACTCCAGTAAAAGAGCAGGTAAGAAAGAGGGAAGCCAATGGATTCAATGCTAAGAAACGTAGAAGTCCCAGGACAGCTACATACCAAGCACAGAGAATAACTTGCCCAAATTGGAGCAGGGGGAGAAGACACTCTAAGAGAAATGCCTCTCCATCAAAAGGAAAGAAGAGGAACAGATTAATTATCTCATTAATTAGTTAGTTAATCAATTACCCAGTTAATTAGAAGTTTGAGATTACTGGGAAAATTTGGGGCTCATTGGTGATAAGTCTATAACAATTAAAATGAGATCATTGTTACCTTGAAGAAAATAAACTTGTACCAAGAAAAGGAAATGTAATCATACTACAGTAGTTGACTCAGTATAAATAACATTTATATAAACATTATAAGTCATAATAATAAAACCAACACAACCAAACATCATAATGCATGAAATACCAGCATCATGGTTATTTGGGATATATTATTGGAGAGGAAAATATGAGAAGTAAATCTTTAAAGTTGAAATAAAAGAGATTGTTGGAAATTGTTAGAACTACAGAGGTTTAAGTATATCTAAAGAAGCACAAGAAACAAGTAGAACTTTAAAATAATGTGAAATGGAAGAGGTTGGCAAGCTAAATTTTCATCCACTGGAATATTTCATCTGTTGAAATAGGGAGTTGATAGACATCAACAAGGTGATAAATTTTAAAATAGGATTATATGCATACTACTTAGCTTATACCTCTAGAATTGAAAAGAGAAGTGTTTAGTGTGCCTCGAGAGAGTGAAAGTGTTGAATTTTTTATCATGTACTGTACTATTTAATTTTTTATCATGTGCACAGAAAAAGAAATATCCTGGAAAAATAAATAGAAAAGAACCGGGAGTCAAGAATACAGGTTCTAGACACTTAAGGAGAAAAGAATTTTAAAAATAGCACACTTACCAGTGAAGCAGAAGTAAGTAAAGCTGGAAAAGTCACTACAACTGGTAGATAAATCACTGGCAATCTTTAAAGAAATTGATTTTCTTTCAGAGTTGGTGGCAAGTCAATAGAGAGCAAAGGGGTAGTTGGGA